GACGCGCAAACCGTCTACATCGGGAGGAGTTTGAGGGCAACGATACTGATTTTAGCAACCTACTCGCCGAAGACAACGGATTGCACAGTGTGCATGGACCACGGGACCAACGACAACAAAGTGGCCTACTTCAGATGCCGTCGCCTTGGGCAGTAATGGCTGCGGAAGCTGTAAGACGTCTGGCTGGTTTGCACGGCTGGGGGAGATCAAAGGTATGCGAACCGCAAATAACATAAAAACTTCTATGATCATATTAAGATCATCTACGGCCGCTGCATTCAAGGTATCGCAGTGCTGCTCAGCTCCAATGGAACAAAACTTGTGACGGAGGAATCGTAAATTCTGAAGCCCTGGGCCGAGGACTTAAGAAGTGTCTCCAAGTGTCCATCCACAATCTTCGACGCTGCCACCGACCGGCTTTCCCAGGTGAAAACGAACGATTAACAGGATCTCCTGCTTCCCCTGCCATAAACTATTGTTTGCTTGTTATCTATGCCTCAAATTTTTAAAATACGCACAAAAATTTTTCTGGAGGGTCCTGGATTTTCATTTCTTTTTCATTCAGTGAAATGTTTGAAAGTTAAAGTAAGGTGTACAGTCATTATTATCATTATTTCCCGCTCTGCAAAGGGCATATGGCTTCCATCGCTGAAAATCCACGTGATCTTCGACGCCCGCCAACTACAAGAGAATTTCCAGGAGATGCGAAGCCATCCCTAGATTACCTTTTCGGATTTGACGAAAGCCTTCGATACAGTAACCTGCGATGGACTTTGGTAAACCATGCAGAAATTTGGTTGTCTTGTGCGACTCACGCACATAGTGCATTAGCTACACGACAGGATGATAACGTGCGTCACGGACAATGGGGTAGTATCCCCGGCACTCGCAGTGACCAACAGAGTGAAGCAAGGTTGTAACTCATTCCCACTCTTTTCAATCTCAAGCTCTCTGTCATGCGGGCTCTCTATTCTTTAGATGAACCTTGACTTTGGAAGTTAACATTACAAGCTAAACACCAAATGGAAATGTAACTTACCTGTCGGTGCCTTCGCCATTGTCACCGAACCTGAAATTCGGAAATTGTGTTGGAAGGTTTCAACATTAAAGGACATAAAAGAACATTAAGCCCACAAAGCAAGTACTCTCAGGTGACTTTTAAAATCATTCAATTTTATGAAAGAAAAACTAGTTCGTAGGGCCGTCTTAGACCGTAAGACTCAATGATCCCGGGTGTGAATCCTGGATGGTCTATGCCTGGACTTGAGTATGGCCGGCTGATAACCGTTAATAACTGTTCTTTGTACACTACTCTCAAGTCTGACTACGACCTGGGGATCCAGTGTCGAAAATTTACTGAATAAACTTACTCATTTTCCCAAAAGACGCCTTTCCTTGAAATTAAGTCAGAAATGGCCACTTCAGTCTCCTAAATCGGTGCGTGTATCACACTATTCTACGGTTACCTATGATTAATGGCTCTCGAAAGAATTCAAAACGTCAGGCAACGATCGCATCTGCACTAAATGTTTTGTGGGAAAGAAGGTACGAATAAACTCATTGGAATTAGATGTATACTCATTTTAGCTGCAAGGAGCTAGCCACAAAAGCTCTCAATAACATGCTGGTGCCCGAGAAGCTATTAAATGTTTACGTACCTGGACTTTTCCAAAGTGTGCTGAGAAACTGACGGCCAATCCTTGTAGACCTCCGATAAGCTTGCTATGAGGCGTTGAGGATCCTTGCTGGGTCTCCGAAGACTCATTCGGTGAATCGCTTGGGTTCGAATTTGTGAAACCAGTGGCAACTTCTCCTTCGGAGGTCTACCGTTTTCATCATAGTCTGGTGCCTGTGTGGAGCACTCCCTTTCCACGGGCTTTCGGTCCGGGAAACGAGGTACTGGACGTTCCGCGATGGTCAGCGATATTTTGCTGGTTGGCTTTCTGGTACTATTTGTCGACATGCGGCTTAGAGAACGTTTAGTACCTGTTTTTCCTCGTTTGGGGCGAGCTAGGGAGGAAATTTGGGCCTGTAGGAGATCTAAGCCGGCTTGGCTGGCGGCCGCTGACGGACAGAGTGCGAGTGCAGCCTTTAAGTGTTTTGTTCCATCGAGGGGCAGATCCTCCTGGAAATCCATTGCAGCAAGAGCTTCCTCGGCTTGGAGTTGAACTGCTGGCCACTTGGCATCCCGGGCAGCTTCGCGCGCCAGTGCATATTGCCAACGGGCCTTTCGAAAGGCACCGGAGCGGACTAGTGCGTACGCCATGTTGCAGCCTGCCTGCGCTTGTCCCGCACGATTTCCAACGCGACCTTTCAAGCATGACGTAATTTTGAAGGCGTTAACTGACATTTCTGTGCATTAATTTTACGAAATATACGACATGAGTATCTTATACTCCTCATGTTCTATCGCATAATTTCGACTGGCAGGCCAGTAAGTTGTAGAGTATTAATTGATTCTTCTTTTTATGTCCCGACAAGTAATGACCAAGGGACCCTAGTTTGGACATAGGAATATACTGTACCCCCCAAATAACTCGAGGCATTGGATATGTTTCTCAGGTGGGCCTCGTTACTTGCAAAAAAACGTGAGTTAAAACAACTAACAAGGGCAGTATTTGCATGGATTAAATAGGGAATTTTAAAAGGGCCTTAACAGCGCTAAAAGCCTAACCTTTACAATTATGAAGCTAAATTAATGGTTATGTTGAAATCACGTAACGTATGATACATATAGACCTGGATCGCCTGCATAGCTCGTGACATGCCTTGCCAAATATTCGCAAAATCATGGTCATGTAAAGTCCCCAAAACTGCCTAGAAGAATAAACAATGGGGTGAATTGATTAAAAAGAAGCGAAACCAAAATATTTCCCTTGTTTTATAAAGTAGTCTCCTTCTCTTTATATAAATGCCCGCCTTAGGAGGTAGCATATAGCACAAACGTAACCAAAACTGGATAATTTAGTGATATGCGTTGGTCTCTAAATATTTACGCAATACAAAAGATCCATCAACAGTTTCCACTTTCCTCTACCATTAGGCTACCATTTATTTCTACCCACTGTCTTATAGAATAACTTTAATACATTGCTTCCAATGTGAAGATGATTTAAAACAGGTTCATCGGGAGAACGCACTCTATAACAGCAAAGAAATGCGAAGTACCTGTTTATAACTTTTATATATGCTTTTAAAAGTTACCATAGGCATTGACGGCAGCTCCAAGCGTTTTAATAGCTTCTGAAAACTCTTCTGCGATTGCATATGCCGACCCTAGATTTTGAAGGACTGAGGCCCTTAGAAGCATGCCTTCAGATTCCAGTCGTGCGTGCGCCTTGACGAAGCATTTGATGGCACTGGTTGTAAGTTCAAATGCCATGAATGCAATACCAAGTTCGTTGAATAAAACACCTTAAAAGTAAATATATAAAATATTTGCCGCAACAAACCGAAAGGAGACAATGTATTGCTGATAAATCCAGCGATACTATAATCAACGAGTCACTATAAAAATCTTGATGGGAGTATTAAGGTTTTTCTGAGAGTAGAAAATGTTGTTAGGTCTGAGTTGAGCGAGTTATTTCAATAAACTACATCCGTATAACTGAACAGGTTTATGGTCAAAATGAAATAAGCCGAAGTCACCAAGTAAGACACTAGGCAGGTTAAATTAAGGGACTGCTCAAAAGCACCTAATTTTACCCTAAGTTCTGCAAATATTCCCATGTTCAACTTGGAAAGTTTATGCGGCAAACATATGTTTTCAGCATTTCCTCATCAGGCCAGTAAAATTACAGAGATAATGAAAATCGTATAGTTTCATAGGGGGGTAGGAGTGCCTCGTGGGGCCGCCTGGGGGGCGTCCGAGGCGCTCGCCTCGGTCTTACGGGCTCCTGATTTTAGGAGAGGGGACGGAGGGGCATGTCAGGGAACAAATCAGATCGCAAAAATCTTGTAAAATAAAAAAGTTACGAGGGTAAGTTGGGTTGCGTACCCAAACCTCGGGCGGGGACACTGCAGTTCGCTTTAATATAATCGTTAACCCCCGAACGGACCAACGGCGACCGCGTGTATGTCGGGGGAGTGTGCCCAAACTTCGGGCGAGGTCACTGAGGTACATTTTCTGTTAGTTCCACTAGCCCCAACTAGAATAAAGGCGAATGGGTGCAGAAGCTGGAAGGCTGCGGAATTTACTCTACTTAAAATTTGTAA